TTCTCTCAAGGGAGATTTTCCAACTGGGTAGCAGTTATAAATGCACATATGAGCCTTTGCTGCCCCAAAGGACCAGGCCAATTTCTGCTACCAAGAATATGAACCATGTCATTACAAGGGCCTAATTTTCAAGGAGAATAACAGCCCTTAGCACCCTCATTTTGTTTTTCCCATAGTGGTTTCTCCATAGTGTCCTTCACACACAACAATCTAGGGACCAGCTGACAGCAGAAGATGCAGAGGTACGGCTCTGATGATCCAGCTGAGGCAGCCCCTCACTGACACTCCTGGGACTTTTTTTTTTTTTTTTTTTTTTGAGATGGAGTCTTGGTCTGTTGCCCAGGCTGGAATGCAGTGGCACGATCTGGGCTGACTGCAACGTCCACCTCCTGGGTTCAAGTGATTCTCCCACCTCAACCTCCAGAGTAGCTGGGATCACAAGCATGCACCACCACACCTGGCTAATTTTTTTATTTTTATAGAGACAGGATTTCACCATGTTGGCCAGGCTGGTCTTGAACTCCTGACCTCAAGTGATCCACCCGCCTCAGCCTCCCAAAGTGCTGGAATTATAGGTGTGAGCCACCACACCTGGCTATCACTCCTGAGACTTTTAATCTCCAGGTCCCTTTTTATTTTCTTCTAGATATTTATATTTCCAGGAAGCATCTGCTTTGTTTACTGGTAAGTGCCCCCTGAACATGGGCTTCAAAGGGGCTAAAACCATATCAGTCCCTCTACTGATGTGCTCCCATCCCTGTCCAGAACAGTGCCTGGTACACATGGACCCTCAATAAACAGCTATTCAGCAGATGCATGGTGCTCAGGCGTGGGTCCCTGGAGGTGGGTCCTTCTCTCCTTCCTTAGCTCACATACTCCTGCTTCCTCTTCAGCAATGGGCAGCTTCAGCTACCCTGAGCTCAGACCCAGAGTTGAGGACCCTCCTTGCATCATGATCTCACCCCATCTGATTTTGAAATACAAAATAAATTTTTTTTAGTCTATGTCTCAAATACACTATTAGAATGTACTTATAATATACCATTCATATTTAGAAAATAATTTGGCATTAGAATTCAATATAAGTTGAATGTATTTTGCATATGAGGACAGAATTCAGTGTAAGTGGGCTGGACACAGTGGCTCACGCCTGTAATCCCAGCACTTTGGGAGGCCAAGGAGGGTGGATCACAAGGTCAAGAGATCGAGACCGTCTTGGCCAACATGGTGAAACCCCGTCTCTACTAAAAATGCAAAAAATTAGCCGGACGTGGTGGCACATGCCTGTAATCCGAGCTACTTGGGAGGCTAAGACAGGAGACTTGCTTGAACCCAGGAGGCGGAGGTTGTGGTGAGCCGGGAATGTGCCACTGCACTCCAGCCTGGGCAACAAGAGCGAAACTCTGTCTCAAAAAAAAAAAAAAAAAAGAATTCAGTATAAGTATGTTCTAAATACATATTGCAATATAATCATAAGATATAATTTTAGTATTTAATATTTAGTACAAGGGTGCCTCAAATACACTGTTGAAATGTATTTTTGTTTTGTTTTTCAGACAGGGTCTCACTTTGTCACCCAGGCTGCAGTAGTGTTACACGGCTTACTGCAGCCTCAATTTCTTGGTCTCAAGTGATCCTCCCACCTCAGCCTCCTAACTGGCATCACACATGTGCACCACCACCTGAGGGTCATTTTTGTATTTTTTGTAGAGATGGAGGCTTGCCACGTTGCCCAGGCTGTCTCCAACTCCTGGGCTCGAGAGATCTTCTGGTCCTGCCTCGGCCTCTCAAAGTGCTAGGATTACAGGCATGAGCCACCACCAGGCCTGGGACATGTTTACACTAAAACATTATTCATCATTGATCTGACATTCAAATGTAACTAGATATCATCCTATGTTATTTGCCAAATACAGCAACCTTTTTCTGGCACATGGTTTTGTTTTTCAGACAGGGTCTCACTTTGTCACCCAGAGGACAGTGGTATGATCTCGGCTCAGTGCAACCTTTGCTTCCCAGGTTCAAACAATTCTCCTGCCTTGGGATTACAGGGGCGCACCACCATGCCTGGCTACTTTTTGTGTTTTCAGTAGAGACGGGGTTTCACCATGTTGGCCAGGCTGGTCTCAAACACCCAACCTCAGATGATCCACCCGCCTCAGCCTCCCAAGTGCTGGGATTACAGGCATGGGCCACCGCGCCCGGCATCCTTGTTTTTCTTGAGTTTACATATAACTCAGCTTTATTTTTTGCTTACTAAATCGGGCAATGCTACTATGATACTATGGGACATAATTACAGTGGAAATTACTTACACTCCTGTATTTATATCAAGAAGTTTTTTAAAATGCCCTAGATATAAAACACAGTAGCCGGGCGCGGTGGCTCAAGCCTGTAATCCCAGCACTTTGGGAGGCCGAGGCGGGTGGATCACGAGGTCAAGAGATCAAGACCATCCTGGTCAACAAGGTGAAACCCCATCTCTACTAAAAATACAAAAAATTAGCTGGGCATGGTGGCGCGTGCCTGTAATCCCAGCTACTCAGGAGGCTGAGGCAGGAGAATTGCCTGAACCCAGGAGGCGGAGGTTGCAGTGAGCCGAGATTGCGCCATTGCACTCCAGCCTGGGTAACAAGAGCGAAACTCCGTCTCAAAACAAACAAACAAACAAACAAACAAACAAAAAAAAAACAACAAAAAAAAAAAAACAGCCGGGCGCGGTGGCTCAGGCCTGTAATCCCAGCACTTTGGGAGGCCGAGGCGGGTGGATCACGAGGTCAAGAGATTAAGACCATCCTGGTCAACATGGTGAAACCCCGTCTCTACTAAAAATACAAAAAATTAGCTGGGCACGGTGGCGCGTGCCTGTAATCCCAGCTACTCAGGAGGCTGAGGCAGGAGAATTGCCTGAACCCAGGAGGCGGAGGTTGCGGTGAGCCGAGATCGCACCATTGCACTCCAGCCTGGGTAACAAGAGCGAGACTCCGTCTTAAAAACACAAACAAACAAAAAACACACACACACACAGTAATACTAAAAATAAATTCAGTTATCCTTAATTCAAGGCCAGTTGGACGTCCTGTATTTTTATTCGCTAAGTCTGGCGATTCTATTCTGGGACATACTTGTACTAAACATATTTATATTAAAAACACTGTTTCGACATACCACTCTTGGACACAGTAAAAAACGGTTGCGTGGGCTGGGCACAGTGTCCCAGGACTGTAATCCCGGCACTCTGGGACGTCGAGGCGGGCGGATCACGACGAGGTCAGGAGTTCGAGACCACGCTGGCCAACATGATGTAACCCCGTCTCTACTAAAAATACAAAAATTAGCCGGGTGTGGTGGCGGGCGCCTGCCATTCCGGCTCTTCGGGAAGCTGAGCACCGCTTGAACCCGGGAGGCGGAGGTTGCGGTGAGCCGAAATCGCGCCACTGCCCTCCAGCCTGGGCAACAACAGCGAAATTCCGTCATTAATGGAGAAACGGCCATCGCGTGCGTGGAACGCCTGCGCTTCGCCCAGCGGCCCGTCGTCCTCGCGCACCCCCGCAGCCGGCCCCTTCTCCGCGCCCCTCAGCCGCGCTCTCGAAGCCGCGCGAACCGTTGCCAAGGCGACCCGAGCCGGAGCCCGAGGTGACCGGAGGGCGCGGCGAAGGCGCGGGCGCTCATCCCAGGCGGCCTCCGATTGGCCGCGGCCGCCGGTTGCGTCACAGCCCCGCCCCTGCCCGGGAGTCCCGCGACGCGTGACGTGCCGCTGACGCGCGGCGCGCCCCAGCGGACCAATGGCGGCCGCCCGCGGCGCGCGGGGTGCCGGGACGGGGTCCGCCCGCGGTGCTCGGCGCGCTCGCCAGCCCAGGGGTCGCCATCACTGAGCGGCCCAGGCCGGAGCGGAGCCCGCGCGCGGTGAGTCCGCCGCGGCCCATCCGTTCCTCCACCCGCCGAAGCGCCCATCTCCCGGAGGGGCGCGGCGCCGCGTCGGCGGGACCTGGCCCGAGATCGCGGTCCTGGGGCGCGAGTCGGGGGAGGCGGGCCCGGGCGGGGGGCGGGTCGGGAGTCGCGAGGTCGCTGTGGGAGGGGAAGGGGAAGGCTGGAGCCCACGCGGGGCGGGGGTTCGGGGTGCTGGGGCCGCCCCTTCCGCAGGGACCTCGACCCCCGTTGGCATCCGCCTGTCGGTTTGAGGCAGAAGCCCCTCTGCGCACCCCCATTGCCCGCCTAGACGCCGCTCGGCCGCGTTCACGTTCTCCCTTCACCACCTGGTCGGCATCCCAGGACGCATCTCTCTCCCCGCCAGCCACCCCCATCCCGTCTCCCTCCTGACCAGCTGCCCCCGAACCCATCTCCCCTCCAACCAGCCCCCTTCGAACCCAGCTCCTACCCGAACAGCCGCCCTGGACCCATTGCCCCCGACCCATCCCCCACCCAATCACCCGCATCCCGACCCCCAACCTGCGCCCCGGTCCCTGTCCCTCCCGCGTATTCCCGGAGCGCTGCCCTTGCATACTTCCCCAGCCCATTGATTATGGCGCTCCCCTGTGTGGCGTTGTAAGCCCCCTTCTCAGAGCTAGAGCCATTCACTGACTGGCGCAGTGAACACGTCTACCAGGTCAATAAGCATCCGGCATCAACGGCAAAGCCCTTCCGCCCATCCCCCCAATAGAATTTGGGGCCTGGGCTGCAGATCTCACTGCTCATGCCAGGTGAACCCGGCACTTCCACCAGGCTCTCAGCCCTCCAAGTGACACTCTCACACACATCCCCGACATTAATCCCAGACCCTTACCAAAGTAGACCTCTAGGACCCCAGGGCCTCCACAGCATTGCCCATGGAAGGGTCCAGATCCTTCTTACCAGCTATGTAGACTTCAGGACCCTCCACATCATCCCAGGCCCGCTTCATCTTCCAGAAACGGCCCCCGCCATCAGTCCAGGACTCTCGTCAGCTCAGGCACGCCCGAGTTTTCCACATCAGCCCCACAGACCTCAGCCCAGGACCCTGGAAGATCTCCAGGGCGAGCTGCCATGAGCACCTGAGAGAGTATAAGGACTGAAGTCCCAGGGCAAAGGGACTTCTTGGACCTGTGGAGCTTCAAAATAGGCCCCTTTTTCTTATTCAAAAGTACATATATAAAAGCGTGAATACAATGTGAGAGAGTGTTATTTGCCTGTGGTCTTGGCAGGGGAGACCAAGCTGTATGTCTCCCAATCAGGGTACAGGTGGCCGGGTCCGAGACTTGAAGATTGCTGGTGGGGCACAGGCCTGGTGAGTTGCCTTTTCTGCCACTCTGCACCTCTCCTTTCTCCTGGATTGTAAACCCCATGCACAAGAACTGTAGAGTGTACGAAGAATGCAGCAGAGGATGAAGAGGGAAAATCCCATGGAATCTCTCCTTTTCACTTGTCATAAGCATTTCTCGTATAGCTAAAGATCCTTCCTAAAGATTTCTTGTTTTGTTTTGTTTTTCCATGTTGATGAAGGTCACATGGGATCCTGACACCATTTGGAGGAGATTCAGAGAAGTATGAAGAACACAAAGCACTTCGCTGGCCCGCTGTGGGCCTCTGCCCAGCACTCCTTTTCTGTGACACTCATGCATCATCCTGCATCCCGTGTTCTCTGTGCCTCATGTCATCTGTACATCATGTATATACTCTCCATGGTCATGTCATGGTGTTGTGTATTGTGCACATTGAATACTCCCATCACATGCTGGGGGAGGTAGTTGATCCCACCACATTCAGCAGCTGGGCACTTTTGTAGTGAATCTTCGTGCTGGAATCTTGCATCTTGCATGCAATCTACCAAGTGTTCTTCATATATAAGTGTCCATAGTGCTTTCCAGAAAGGTCATGCCAATTGATATTCTCACCAGCAGATCAGATCAGCTCAGAGTACAGTTGTTAAAGACAACCAAAACCTGTTTTTATTTTCATAACTTTTTTCTTCAGTTACATATTCATAGTGGGCTTGGAAATGTATAAAAGGTGTTTTATTTAAGAGACAGAGACTCACTTTGTCGCTCAGGGTGGCGTGCAGTGGCACAATCTCTGCTTGCTGCAACCTCTGCCTCCAGGGTTCAAGCGATTCTTCTGTCTCAGCCTCTCCAGTAGCTGGTATTACAGGTGCATGCCACCACGCCCAGCTAATTTTTGTATTTTTAGTAGAGACAGTTTCACCATGTCAGCCAGGCTGGACCCGAACTCCTGACCTCAGGTGATCCACCTGCCTCACTTAGCCTTTCAAAGTACTGGGATTATAGGTGTGAGCCACTGCACCCGGCCACAGAAGGTTATTTTTTCGTTGCCCTCTTCCTGCCCTCCTCTCCCAGCTTGGAGTTGGTAGGAAAAGCATGAAGGCAGCAAAGATAACACCATGGGCAGAGGCTGCTGCCGCCGTTGCCACCATCACGGTTCATTTTTACGTAGCCCACCTGCTGCTTCCATTTAAATTGAATTTAAATTTAAAATTCAGTTCCTTATTTCAGGTGCTCCCAGCCACATGTAGGTGGCTGCACGGGTAGAGAATGTCTGCATCCCCGTTGGAGCTTCTGATGCGCAGCGCTGGCTACTCCACGGGGGCAGGCACTCTTGCTCCCGCAGCTCGTCAGTCGATGAGTGTCGAATGACTAAATGTGGGAGAGAGACTCTTAAGGGAAAAAGATGTGTTCAGAAAGGCATGGGGGTTTCGAAGACGGCGGCAGGAAGATGATGGCCGGGACGTCTGCGAGGGGAGGAGCTGGGAGGGGGAGGGGCTGGGGCTGGACGGCAGGTGCAAAGGTCCTCGGGCAGCCAGTGGCTTGAATACAGCGCAGAGTAGCCTTTGAGAGGCATATGGAAGATGAGATTGGGAGGTGGGGAAAAGGCAGGTTAGTTCCTTGGGGTGCTGGAGGCCAGGCCTAGGAAGTGAGCTGAGGGGCATCCTGAGCAGGGAGGGCCACCATCTGATGTGGCCCCTCTGTCCCTGCCCCTCTCTGCAGGCCCCTGATTGCTGACTCCGCCCGCCTGCCACACCGGCTCTGTCTGGAGCCACTGAGACTCTTGGGATCCAGTCCACACACACCCTTCAGAGGGCACTCTGGCCAGAGAAATGCTTCCACGGCCCAAAGCCCCTGCCTCCCCTAGACGTCCCCAGACCCCAACCCCGAGTGAGCAGGACGGGGACCCTGGGCCAGCAAGCCCCAGGGACACCGAAGCCCAGCGTCTGCGGTTCCGACAGTTCCAGTACCATGTGGCGGGCGGGCCGCACCTCGCGCTGGGCCAGCTCTGGTCGCTGTGCCGCCAGTGGCTGAGGCCCGAGGCGCGCTCGAAGGAGCAGATGCTTGAGCTGCTGGTGCTGGAGCAGTTCCTGGGCGCGCTGCCCAGCAAGATGCGGACCTGGGTGCAGTCACAGGGCCCCCGAAGCTGCAGGGAGGCCGCCAGCCTGGTGGAGGACCTCACACAGATGTGCCAGCAGGAAGGTGAGAGGCGCAGGCTCGGTGCCCCGGGACGGGCGCGGGGGCCTGACGTCTCCGAGGACCGAACTGCCCTCCTTCCCGCCCGCATCGCTCCCACCCCCGCCTGGCCCCTCCCAACCGGCAAACCTCTCCTGCCCCGCGCCTGTGTTTTTTAATTATTTTTACATATAAATGTCGTGCTGCACGCCTCATCTGCCTCAGATTTCTCACTCAGTCGGTTATTAAAGATCCCTCCATTTCCCATGTGTCCATCTGTCCTGTGGCTTTGTGTCCGCTGCTCCTCACCAGCTGCCCTCCGGGAGGGACGCTACCCCGCCACCTCCTCCCAGCCACCTGCAGCGCCTCCTGCAACACTCCAGAATCCTAGAGATCTTTAACCCTTCACTGGGCACAGGCCCCACCACTGGCTGATGGTGGGGAGAGGGGTGGGGAGAGGCTTAGGTCTGTACCCCGCCTCTGAGAGCTGGGGAATTTGGGGTGGAAACTGGGCTCCCTCCCTCTCTCCTTTCTCAGCTCCCCCTTTCCAAGAGGGCCTTGTCCTCCTGCACCTTTGCCCCTGTGACCCCACATCGAGATTCCATCCACCCAGAGCCCGGTTCCATGAGTGGGGCTCTCCTAGTGATGAAAGTACAGGGATTGGACACTGCGGGGCCACAAGAGGCAGCCTTGGGTGGTGAGAGTGGTCGTGGCACTGTGGACGAGGGAGGGCCTCCCCAGCAGGTCCTCAGTGAGGAGGGTGCATCAGGCAGCTCCGCTGCGAGAGCAAAGGCTGGGAGTGAGAAGGGCCTGATCAGAGCTCCGAGAAAAGGGGGCTGGAGCAAGGGAGAAGAACCAGCCTCTCTTGTCCGCTCCCACTACAGCTTTCCTGTAGACTATAATAAGCAGTTCGCAGGACACAGAGTCCAGGGTCTCCATACTGCCCCAGGGCAGCCAGTGCCATGCTTGGGAAAACTCTGAGAGTTGAACTTTCCAGAGGTGCGATGGTAGCCCTGTAAGCTGTAAGGCAGAAGCCAGATGAATTGGCCTTTGAACTCTCTGCTCCTGCCGCCCAGTGCCCAAGAGCACCGGCTTCTGGACCTCACAGCCATCCCAGCCCAGAGGCACCCTTGCTAGGCTTAATGCTACATGGTCACTTTCAAATTCTCCATCATTTTTGAGTAAAGGGCCCTGAGATTTGTCTTCCATAGCGGTGGTCTGCTTTTTACATTCAGTATTTTGAGCCTACGAAATAGTAAAGCAAGTATAATGAACAGCCCCGCACCCGACACCCTGCCCTATCAAAGCCTAACCTCTGGAAAGGCTGGCTTGGCGTCGTTTTAAATAAATACCCATGGCGAGGCACGGTGGCTCATGCCTGTAATCCCAGTACTTTGGCAGGCTGAGGCGGGAGGATTACTTGAGGCCAGTTCAAGACTAGCCTGGCCAAGACGGTGAAACTCCGTCTCTACTAAAAATACAAAAAAATAGCTGGGTGTGGTGGTACGTGCCTACAATACATCCCAGCTACTCCGGAAGCTGAGGCAGGAGAATCTCTTGAAGCCGGGAGGCAGAGATTGCAATGAGCCAAGATCACGCTGTTGCACTGCAGCGTGGGAGACAGAGCAAAACTCCATCTCACACACAAAAACGAACAACCAGTGGAGTTGGCTGAACCCCCAGTTCGTGTCTCCTAGTCATGTTGTTTCCCCGCTCTGCCTGATACCCCAGAGGTGGCTGTGGTCTTGAATTTTTCTTTGTTTTTTGTTTGTTTGTTTGAGACGGAGTTTCGCTCTTGTGACCCAGGCTGGAGTGCAATGGCGCGATCTCGGCTCACCGCAACCTCTGCCTCCTGGGTTCAGGCAATTCTCCTGCCTCAGCCACCTGAGTAGCTGGGATTACAGGCATGCGCCACCATGCCCAGCTAATTTTTTGTATTTTTAGTAGAGACGGGGTTTCACCATGTTGACCAGGATGGTCTTGATTTCTTGACCTCGTGATCCACCCGCCTCGGCGTCCCAAAGTGCTGGGATTACAGGCTTGAGCCACCGCGCCTGGCCTTTGTTTTGTTTTAAGACAGAGTTTTGTTTTTATTGCCCGGGCTGGAGTGCAGTGGCACAATCTTGGCTCACTGCAACCTCTGTCTCCTGGGTTCAAGTGATTCTCTTGCCTCCGCCTCCAGAGTAGCTGGATTACAGGCGCCTGCCACCATGCCCAGCTAATTTTTTGTATTTTTAGTAGAGACCGGGTTTCACCATATCGGCCAGGCTGGTCTTGGAACTCCTGACCTCAGGTAATCTGCCCGCCTCAGCCTCCCAAAGTGCTGGGATTGCAGGTGTGAGCCACTGAGCCTGGCCGAATTTTTCTTTTCTTTTCTTTGAGATGGAGTCTTGTTCTGTGGCCAGGCTGGAGTGCAATGGCGTAATCTCGGCTCACCGCAACCTCCGCCTCCTGGGTTCAAGTAATTCTTCCGCCTTAGCCTCCCGAGCAGCTGGGATTACAGACACGCGCCACCATGCCCAGCTAATTTTTTTTTTTAATTTTTAGTAGAGACGGGGTTTCACCATGTTGGCCAGAATGGTCTCGATCTCTTGACCTCGTGATCCGCCCGTCTCGGCCTCCCAAAGTGGCCGAATTTTTCTTTTTTTAAATTAAAAAATAAATAGAGGTGAAGGTCTCGCCATGTTGCCCAGGCTGCTCTCAAACTCTTGGGCTCAAGTAATCCTCCTACTTCGGCCTCCCAAAGTGCTTGGATTACAGGCGTGAGCCACGGCGCCCGGCCGAATTTTTCTTTTTTTAAATTAAAAAATAAATAGAGGTGAAGGTCTCGCCATGTTGCCCAGGCTGCTCTCAAACTCTTGGGCTCAAGTAATCCTCCTACTTCGGACTCCCAGAGTGCTGGGATTGCAGATGTGGGCCACGGTGATGGCTGGCCTTTAATTTTTCATTGCATCTCTGTGAATGTTTCCTCCTACTGGATCCATAACAGTACATGCTTCTGGTTCCCACGTCATTTTTTTTTTCTTTTTTTTTTTTTTTGGTGATGGAGTCTTACTCTGTTACCCAGGCTAGAGTGCAGTGGTGTGATCTCGGCTCACTGCAACCTCCACCTCTAAGGTTCAAGAGATTCTCCTGCCTCAGCCTCCGGAGTAGCTTGGGATGACAGGTGCCTGCCACCACGCCCAGCTAATTTTTGTATTTTTAGTAGAGATGGAGTTTCACCATGTTGGTCAGGCTGGTCTCAAACTCCTGACCTCGTGGTTCACCTGCCTCGGCCTCAGAAAGTGCTGGGATTACAGATGTGAGCCACTGCACCCGGCCTGGTTCCCACGTCTTGACCCTTCTGTAAATGGTGTCCTATAACTGGCTTCCTCCTTCAGCAGTCATTCTCTCTGTGCACAGCAACCCTGGGGGGGCTTGGGAAGCAGAGAGCTCATGGTAACCAGGCGTCTCTAGTTAGTTGGTGCTGCAGTGAGTGTCCTCGTGGGCTTCTGGAGGCCCGCAGTAGTGTGGAGTGTGAGTAAAGAGGGTACTTGTCCTCAGCGGCCCTTGGTGTCACCACAGGTTCGTGCCCCAGAGCCACGTGGAGGCACAGAATGATGGCCCTGCTGCCACCCTTGCCTGAGCCTGAGGGGTGCTGCTGGGATGTTTGGGGAAACTCTGCCCTCCCCAGAAGGTTTAGAGAATTGGGGGCACTGGGAAGAACAGGCCCCTCTCACGATCCCTTTCTCCCGCACAGTTCTGGTATCTCTGGACTCGGTCGAACACCAGGACTGGAGTTTCGGTGAGGAGGAAGACGGGAAGAGCCCAAGGTCCCAGAGAGAACCATCCCAGGTGAGCCCGGGGCCCCCAGCTCCGTGCTCCTGCACCCCGGGGTGTGAGTGCTGCTCCTGGGACGGCCTGAAGGACGCCCCATCCAAGGACTGTGTGAGGTTGTCACCAACACTCCCAGGAAGCCTCTGAACTCCTCGCCTGTCCCACAGATTCCCCAGACTTCCTGGGCTCAGTTCTGGGCAAGGGCCGTGAGTGCAGGTGTGTATGCTGTGCGCCTCTGGGCCTCACCCCAGCCCCTCCAGTCCTGTCTGAGCTGCGCCGTTAGGGCCCATCCTCCTGTGTCACCTGAATCAGATGCTGGGTGTGTTGAGAAAATCCAGGCGCTGCCCCGGATCCTCTCCTCTCAGTTAACCGAGGATTCTGGGCGGGGCCAGGAGGAAACGCCGCCGCCGGGGGCTCCCTAGCAACTAGACCCGCTCGTGTGCAGACCTCAAAGCGACGGGTGGGGCTGGCTCAGTTGGGAGCCAAGCGGATCTTGGTGTGGCTGGAGAGATTAAAATCGGGTTGGGCCACGCAGGCGCAAGAGAGAAATTCAGTGGTAATGGGTAAATCACAGAAAAACAAAAGTGAGATCCGCCAAGCGAATAGCATGTGTGATCAGGGCTCCTATGAGTCTGAACACTTTCTGCCCCTGGATCTTGATACTGGAGTCTTCAAGGGAAACACAGGGCAGCTGCGCAATGGATGGAACAAGGTTTTGCTCACAGAGCCAGAGCACCATCCGTCCATGTGGCCGTCCGCCCCAGGCCAGCAGGTACCTTCTAGAGGGAGCCTGACCTAACAGTGGGGCGGTCTAGGTGCCATGTGAAGCACACGCCTGAGCAGAACAAAGGGGCACGCATTGGGAAACAGAGACCCCTACACAAGGCACTATGCCCAGCACAAACTGTGAGGACCCCTTATCTCTTGGTAAGGAAATGTTCTAGGCCCAGGGCCCAATCTCAGCCAAGTAACAGATTGAAAGATGGTACATGTGTCTCTCCCATGGTCTTAGTCCATTCTGGGTGCTATAACAAAATACGACTGGGTGTGATGGCTCATCCCTGTAATCCCAGCACTCTGAGTGAGTCCTCACTGGAAGCTGAGTTGCGAGAACCACTTGATCCCAGGAGTTCCAGAGCAGCCTGGGTAACATACCAAGACCCCATGTCTAAAAAAAAAAAAAAAATTAGCCAACCGTATGGGCATGCACCTGCAGTCTTAGTAACTCTGGAGGTTGGGGTGAGAGGATCACTTGAATCCAGGAGTTCAAGGCTGTAATAAGCTATGATCATGTCTCTACCCTCCAGCTTGTATAACAGAGTGAGACCCTAACTCAAAACAAAAACAAAAAACAAAATGCCACAGCTTGGATGGTTTATAAACCACACAAGTTCTGGGCAAGGTGGCTCATGTCTGTAAGCCCAGCACTGTGGGAGGCTGAGGCAGATGGATCATGAGGTCAGGACTTCGAGACCAGCCTGGCCAACATAGTTAAACCCCGTCTCTACTAAAAATACAAAAATTTGCTGGGCGTGGTGGCACACACCTGTAATCCCACCTATTGAATTGCTTGAACCTGGTAGGCGGAGGTTGCAGTGAGCAGAGATCATGCCACTGCACTCCAGCCTGGGCGGCAGAGCGACTCTGTCTGAGGGGGTTGGGGGAACAGAAACTTGTTTCTCACAGTTTGGAGACTGGGAAGTCCCAGGTCAAGGTGCCAGCAGATCCAGTGTCTGGTGAGGGTCAGTTGCCTCATTCACAGGTGGTGTCTTCTCCCTGTAACCTCACAGGGTGGAAAGGGGAAGGGAACTCTCTGGGGCTCTGTTAAAAGGGCACTAATCCCAATTATGAGGGCTTTAACCTCATGACCTGATCCTCTCTCAAAGGCCGTGCCTCCTAATCCCCTCTCCTTGGGGGTTAGGCTTCATCACGTAAACTTTACAGAGACACAAACATTCAGACCAGAGCGGCAACAAGATCGAATCGCTTTCTCTTCCCTCTGGCACTGAACAGACAGGGTCATGTCCTCATTCTTCCTCAGACCACAGGCCCCTCTCTCTCCTCTGAATGATAACCTTGTCTCTCTTCTCGGTCTTCTTGAGCAATAACCTCCAGTCCCTGGCTATCTGGACCTCAATCCCTCCAGCACACTGTTGACAGCTTGGGCGGCCCCAGGACACCCCCACCTCTCTTCAGGGCCACCCAGCCTCCCTCATCCTTGACTGAGGTTGTTGGCTTCCCCTCCACATGCCGTCTACATAACCCACTCACAGCCTTGCAGCATCTTTGGTTCCCTCCATGTTTTCTGTTTTTTGAGGAGGGGGAATCTCACTGTTGCCCAGGCTGGAGTGCAGTGGTGCTCACAGCTCACTGCAGCCTCGAACTCCCAGGCTAAAATGATCCTCTCACCTCACTTTCCTGAGTAGCTGGGACTACAGGTGCGTGCTCCACCACACTTGACTAATTTTTGTATTTTTAGTTGGGACGGGGTTTCACCATGTTTCCCAGGCTGGTCTTGAACTCCTGGACTCAAGTGATCCACCTGCCTCAGCCTCCCAAAGTGCTGGGATTACAGGCATAAGCCATTGCTCCCAGCCTGGTTTTCTCCTGTTTTCTGTGTAAACACTTAAAAGGCAGACAAAAATCTCATGTTTCCCTTTTCTTTCTTTTTTTTTTTTTGAAGATGGATTCTCACTGTTGCTTAGGCTAGAGTGCAAGGGCGCAATCTCGGCTCACTGCAACCTCCTGCCTCAGCCTCTCGAGTAGCTGGGAAATTTTGTGTTATTTTAGTAGAGACAGGATTTCACTATCTTGACCAGGCTGGTCTTGAACTCCTGACCTCATGATCCACTCGCCTCGGCTTCCCAAAGTGCTAGATTACAGGCGTGAGCTGTCGCGCCCAGCTGTAATGTTTATCTTTTCTTTAATTCTTTTGTTTGTTTGTTTTTTGGAGATGGGGTGTTCTGCTATCACCCAGGCTGGAGAGCAGTGGCATGATCATAGCTCACTGCAGCCTCAAAGTCCTGGGCTCAAGTGATCCTCCCATGCTGGTGTCTCCAAGTGCTGGGATTACAGGTGTGAGTCACTGCATCTGGCTGGCCATGTTTCCCTTTCAAAAATGAAAATGTTTTTGTGAGCAGATGAGAGAAGTTAAACACCGTTAGCCGCCAGGGACATGTAAATTAAACACAGGATGAGATATCACTCCGTACCTGTCAGGATGGCTGTTCTATGCCACCAATCCCATCTGAGGCTGGTGTCTCCCAGAGCCATGGCAGGGGTTTCCACCAGGGAGATTGGGAAGATGGGTTGCTTGGTTGTCAGATGAGTCTTCTTGAAAGAGAATGTGATCCATGTCATGTCATACCTATGTTTCCAGAAGAAGGTGAGATCAAGATCTTGTCTACAAAGACTGTGGTGACAGCTGCTGAGGGTGGGTAGCCTGTAAAAGGTCTTTTGTGTCCTCTGAGGTGAAGGCAAATTGTAATTGAAAGGGTGTTGAAATAGGCACCAAATTGAACAGGTTAGCTAATTTATAACAGCAAAATATTGTTGAGTGGAATCAGTAATTTTAATAATATTGGGTATTGGGTCTAGGGGCTGTTTTAATTTAGGATCTTTAGATGTGGAACACTTCTTCAATCATTAGAAGAGACACACCATGGAAATAAAGACTATCACTTATAGGTGCTGGGGGGTAATGGCACCCTCAAAGACCCATCACTCACACACACACACGCACAGAGGTCATGGAGGTGTAGAGTGGGCACCGGCTCTGACAGAGCCCAGGGTTGGGGGTGTAAGCGTCTGAGGAGCGCACACGGTTGGGCAGTTTACCCCAAGTGGCCACGAAGCTGGGACAAGAGAATTGGAGCCTGTCACCCACGGCAAGTGTTCTCCAGAGGGTCCCACGGGCTTCTAATAGGGAGTGTGGGAGATCTGCTCACCCAGGGGACCAAGGTGGGAACTTGGCCCTTAGCTAAATGGCCACAGGCAAAACAGATGCTGAGGCAGCAATTGATTTTAAGCCTTATCTCAGCCTTTTTGCATTTTTATAAATGCAAATACTAAGGAAATACCTGAGGCTGGGTCATTAACAAAGAAAAGAAGTTTAGGCTGGAAGTCGTGGCTCACCCCTGTAATCCCAGCATTTTGGGAGGCCCAGGTGGGCAGATCACAAAGTCAGAAGATCAACACCATCCTGGCCAACATGGTGAAACCCATCTCTACTAAAAATACAAAAAATCGTACCCGGGTGTGGTGGCACGTGCCTGTATTCCAAGCTCCTTGGGAGGCTGACGCAGGAGAATCGCTTGAACCTGGGAGGTGGAGGTTGCAATGAGCCAAGATCATGCCACTGCACTCCAGCCTGGCGACAGAGGGAGACTCCATCTCAAAAAAAAAAAAAAAAAAAATGGAAAAGAGGTTTGTCTGGCTTACGGTTCTGCACGCTGTACAAAAAGGCCTCAAGTCACTCCCACTCGGGAGATCCAGCATGTGCAGACCCAGTGTGTGCCAAGCACCAGCTAGAGAAGGAGCCAGAGGGAGGGAGGAGGCTCCAGGTTCTTTTAACAACCATTATGGGAAGTTAATAGAGTGATAACTCAGTCACCCAGGGCATTAATCTGTTCTTGAGGGATCCACCCCTTGACCCAAATACCTCCCACCAGGCCCCTCTCCAACACTGGGGACCACATTTTAGTGTGAGGTTTGGAGGGGAAAGGCATCCAGACTAAAGCAGGACTCAACATAATGCTTTGGTGGATGGAGTACAGAGCCAAGGTTGTAGTGATCCGTCATAAGCCACCCTTAGTTTTCCCCAGATTTGAGAACAGGGAAAATTTGGCTATCAAATAGAGAAACAGTGGGGATCTGTACCTGCTTATTAATTCGATTTTTTTTTTTTTTTTTTTTGGAGACAGAGTCTTGCTCTGTCACTCAAGCTGAAGTGCAGTGATGAGATCTCAGCTCACCATAACCTCCGCCTCTCGGTCTGGAGTGATTCTATTCTCCTGCTT